TGCTCATTGAGCATGCTTGGCTTTAGCCATCCTCAACATCAACAAGTGACACAAAGCATTCAAACCACAATTATATTAATAATCAGCTATTGGACAGCTGTATATTGGAAGCAGCTGTCACAGAGTGTGTTTAATGTTTCTCTGACAGCTTCAAGTCTACTTTCTGTCATCACAGAACACAATACTAGCCACACAGTTACTGCAGACTTCCCTCTTTGTGTCATGAAGAGTCACTGATGCTTTGCTGATCAAACACACCAGCCCTCATGTTGTTCACCTGTGTTCAACACTGGAGTGTGAGTTTTGGTCCAAGTACAAGAATCTAAAACCAAAAGTCTCACAAATGCTACTCCGCACAGGTTTGCTGTAATTAGAGCTTAAACAATTGGTCTATGACGTGATTAACCTGAAAACAGAAAAATAATCTACAACTATAACTATTTTGATAGTCATATTTCACCTAAAGCTATTTAGCCCACCTTGGACCAGAATATTCATTGTGAGAATTTGGTGCTTCTCTCTATTGAATGTGAATGTGAACTGAATAGATGGGGTGTTGTATTCTTTGGGTAAAAATAAGCAATTTCACAGAATTTCCTTGAGTGTCATGACATTTTGATGCACAACTTTTCCATTTTCGTGGCATTCTGCAAACCTAGTTTTTAACTGAATAATGTAAAACCACTGTTTTTAACTGTTCCATAGGACTGCGTATTACATGACTAATTTGTATTTAAATCAAATGACCAGGCATTGCTTCTCTGAAAAACTGGATCATAACTTTAGTTGACTTTTTTTTTTCTTTTGTTTAACTAAAATAAGTCAAAATTAAAAAATGCTGTAGAGATTAATCTTTCTTGAAAAGAAAACAAATACAGTATAAACTGGACAAAGCACGTGAGACTGGGAATCTAACCAAACATTTGCTGGCATCTTTGCATATACAACAGGGCCACAAATAATACTTATTTTCTCTCTTTATTATGTAATCATTTGGTACATCACTTTTTGAAGTTAATGAAAATGTTCATCGTTAGTTTCCAGAGCTGAAGGTGATATTTCAATGTGTCTAATTTTGTTTGAACCAACATTTTAAAACCCAAAGACATTCAGCAGCAAATCATTACATTCAACTGATCCCCCCCTTTTCTTCTGTGATATTGTTATAAATCACCAACCTCTTTATCAAAATTGCTTGTGATTGATTTTCAGGTAAATCAATGTCAATTGGATGATTAATTACTGCAGCTTTAAATGAGTGTCCTGATGAGTAACTGATGAGACGATGTATTATTAAAAATGTGAGATTTGATAACCAGCTGCTGTTATAACTCAACAATTAACAACATCGATCAAACATCATTGGCAATCAAACATCACATTTTCCAAAATTCTCAGTATCTCGTTGAACTGTTTCATTAGTCCATCAATTACTAGAAAAGACAGATTATGGTCTTTGTATTAGTGTAATTAGTGATGAGGCGAGCCATGTCCTCCTATCAAGGAATACCTTCAATAATTAGGCCACGGTGATAATCTTGCCACCTACAAGCTTCCATTAGCAACCAGAGAGACTTCAAGCGTTCATAAAGCTATTAAACAATCCTGAACAGCACTGCTGCTCACCTCTGCTCTAAACACCAGTAGAACAAAAGCCAAGAGGGCAGGAAGAACACAAGAAGCAAATACCTCATGAATGTACCATTTTTATTGGACTTATATAGAAATACTTAAAAAAACATGAAGTAGCACCATTACTTAAGTTTTACTTTTTATCATGTATAATTTTAAATGTCAGAAAAATAAAACTCTTGATACATTTTCAAATCTTGTCTCAGCAAATATAATATTAGTATTTGACCATGAGGTTAAAGGCCCTTTATCATAAAATAAAATATACTTTGTTCTTAAACTTTGCTCAATAAAGTACATTTACGCTCAAGTAACTTCACCTACATATACATAAACAAGTGGTAAACAAATGTATTAAAATAGAAATACTAAAACTATAGTGGTGCAACAGAAGCCTGTAATTCCCACTGGAATCTAATTCATACAAATTTTAGAAAGCATAAACGATTTCTTTGTGTTCAACTTACTAAGTTTTGTACATTTCAATGTTTCATAATAATATAGAATAAAATATGCTTTATATTACTGAATAAAAAATACGCTGGGTGAAGCAGATTTAAAAGACATTTTTTTGCTGAACCTATAAAAACTCCATCCCAACAGAATACTGTCAAATACAATACACATTTTGTGGACTTGGATTTCCTCCCACAGTCGTGTGATATTAAAATAATACAGTGATCAATGCCATAAGGCCATACTAAAAAATAAACAATATTTCAACCCAGCTACAAAAAGTTCACTGAACTTAAATTAAAATATCTGTAAACATCTTTGCAATAAGAAATATAATCTTTCAAGTCAAAAAAGAATAAAATACTTCAATCTGTATTAATGTCATTTAAAACTTTCAACTTGTGGAAATTGATTCTATACATATATATGTAGGATATGTTGTTTCTCTCCCTCATGTAATTTCTGAACTCAAGCTGCAGTATCTTTGTAAGTCAATAGTCCTGTTTGGCTGAAAGCCCTCCATGTTTCCCAGCCATGGCCTCCATTTTTACTACATTCGATCAGAAAACCTGGAAGGCTCATCCTGCTAACAGTCTACAGTTTGACCCACGTACCTCCGTCCTGATCCCACTGTGTCTCTTCACCTCATAAATATAGGGTACAAATAACTAGAACTATTGATTACTATACTGTAATATTTAAAACATGCACTTAGATGTTAAAAATATTTCCCCAAGCTACAGTATATTATTAACAACTATGACGGAGCCTAAAAAGGTGTCTGTCCCTTCGGGATACTGCAGCCTCATACATACATATGTATATCTATGTACACTTTCCGAACTGATGATTGGATGATCTCATTAAAGCAGTATGAAGAGTCTGTTGTTGCTATTGTAGCCAGCCTCGCTGATGAGACAGTCAAAGAGTTACACTTCTTATGAAAATATACGTATAGCCTGAGTGACGCCGGTGTGGCAGACAGGACATTTGGGCTCACTCCTCTCACAGATACGATTGGCACATTCCATACAGAAGAGGTTGTGCCCACAGGGGACCAGGGCGGCGATGACCTCACTCTCAAAACACACTGAACAATCACGGCTGCCTTTTCGGCTTGTGCCAGATGAGGTGGAGGAGGAGGAAGAGGAGGAGGTGGACGAGGCTGAGGAGTCGCACGGAACCCCAGGGAGGTGAGGGCCTGGCAAGGACGCAATAGAGCCCGAGTACCCAGGGAAACTGAGAGGGCCTCCTCCGGGATCACTGCGCACCCTCCGGGCTAACGGGTGCTCAATGGGCGCTCCGCTGTGGCTGTGAAGCGGAGGCGACAGCCTAGGCTGTGGGGTACAACCATTCACTCTTCTCTGGCTCACTACTATCCCATTGGCATTAGTGGACGTACTGATTGGGAATATGGCTGAGGTGGAGGTGGGGGAGCTGCCTCCGGTGGAGGAGGGTGTCATACGACTTTCATACGGTGACCAAAGCAGGCCTGGTGGGGCTGGTGTAGGGTCAAACCCTGATGAGGAGTCAAAAGTCAGATCAGTGCAGTCAGGTGAGATGACCTCATTTCCGTAAACAAACCCGTTGCCATTGGTGTTGACGTTGATATTGTTGTTATTGTTGTTGCCATTGTTGTTAGTGGTGGTATAACTGAGTGCAGGGCTGGGGGGGCTGTAGTCAGCCATGCGTGAACTGTTGTTACCAAAGTAAGAGTCTGTGGAGGCGCTGCCCAGGGAGGAGGACGAGTCGTTGCGGTAGTTGGAGAAGGGTTTGCGCACCGAGGTGGGTGTCATTCCTGCATTGGGCTTGGACCACAGGGTGGCATGCCCATGCAGATCAAACCCCACATCAGTCCCATTTGCGTGAAAGTCATTTTCGTCCTGGAGCTCAATAAGGCCTCCTGTTCTCATGGCGATGTGGGCTTCGATCTCTTCACGTGCTCGGTCCACATTCTCCGGCATCCCAGTCACCTCAAACACTGGCTCCTTGTCCCGGCTTGGTGTCACTATGTAGGTGTGGGTCTGCTGCTGGATGCGTTTGATGGTGGCGCCCTTGGGGCCTACAACCAGCCCCACCACACGGTAAGGCACCCGAACTTGGATGGTGGTCTGTCCAGGCAGGTTAGGTGGTCCAGGAACAGGGGTGCCACTCCCATTCAGGCTGGTGTTTTTGTTCCTGGAGGCTCGGATCATGGAGAAGTGCTCAGCAGCAGAAATGATCTCCCTCCTGGCCATAGCTACATCCTCCCTCCTGCCTGTTACCACAAAAACAGGCTCCTCGCCCCGAACTGGAGTCTTGATGTAGGTGTTGGTCTTTGCTCGCAATGCTTTGATCTTGCAACCTGAGACATGGAAGCAAAAGACGAAGGTAAGGATAGGTTTCAAACTAACAACATCTCAAAATATGTCACGTGTCATACTAATACTTATGGACTATTCATAACAGATGCTGGATGTTTATTATTATCTTTCTTAGGAGTCATGTTCATTTGTTACAACAATACAGCCAGCATCTACAGCAGCTACTTCTGAACTCTTGATACTTATTTTATACTAATAGTGTTACGAAAAGAGTGGGGAAGTTACTTTAATACTTAACAGCCTGGCGCCAGTGCAGTAAATTGCATTACACCACTTTCAAGTACATACACACGTCATCAAAATGTGACTAACTGAGGAAACATCCTTAGAAGAATGACATAGTTAGCAGAGCAAGCCAGCTGAGTGGGACACAGTGTTGTAATCAGTACGGCTAAACCTCCCTAAAATCAGTCTGCATAGCCACTTAAAATCTCTTGGATCACCTGACTAGGACTACAGCAGTGAATGTATACATAGTCCCAACAGTGAAGCACAAAGGTTGGAGACAGATGATATGGGGCTGATTGGGAGCAAAATGTGTTGGGGCAATGACCTCCATAACTGGCCCCTGAATGCCTGTGGATTCCCCCATATATGCACACGCTTGGCAGAAGAAGAATATTTCAGCAAGATCACACTCCAATACACACTTCCAAAATCACACAAGAGTTTCTAAAGAACAACAAAGTAAAAACTATGACCTGGTTATGTCGCCTGACCTGAATCCAACAGAACACCTTCAAGCATGTACACATATCTCTTTATCATCAAAATAAGACTGGTTGAGGAAACAGGAAGTGTGGAAGTATGACATAATTAGCAGAGCAAGCCAGCTGAGTGGGACAGGGTGATGTAATCAGTAGAGGATGGTGAACCTACAGAAACTCATCCTGCACATCCAATTCAGATATCTGGGATTACCTCATAAGACTGAGTATCAAACTGGTGTTAAGTAAAATGAAGATGGAGTCTCTTTTATGAGGCTCGCCGTCTTAAAATAATACCCGAGGTCATGGTTAATCCGCGTTTTTTTCCCCACGTCACGCTTCTAACCTGATATAACCCGACACAGGGGGCTGTGTGAGGGAATGGGATGTAAACACATCCACCTCACTAATATACCGCTGCAGCTGTTTTGAAATGTAGGGCTGGCGATGGTGGTTCCTTGCAGTTCCTTTGTTTTTCTGGGAACCACAGCAGCAGGACAGGGAGGGGAAAAGATTCCGCATATGTAACCAAGCACCAGTACCGCCCTGCAGCCCTACAGCTGGAAGACTGCGAGCTGGATCTCTGCAGCTATGGGCGTCTGTGGCAAGGTAAGATCGTGACCGCTGTCCTAATTTGATCTTGGTGCTGATCACCATCACAGTCATAAAAAAAATAAAGCAAAACAAAAAGAACATTGCAAATGTGAGGTGAGCGGGCAGCCCGATCCCTCTGCTCACAGCTCGCTGACCTACATGTCCTGACTGATGATCGTAATAACACCTGTCATGTCTCTGCTCCTCAGCACACGTTCAGGAAATGTTCAGTAAGAAAGCACGGAGTTCGCTTAGTTCTCTGTCTTCTAAACTCAACTCCATTCATTATTACAACTTAACGAGCCTTTACTTGCCTAAAACGAACACACCAAAACAGAGTGCTGTCGGAGTTGCTTCGCTTTTCTGCACAGACAGAACAATCCGATGGGCGGTTATTCCACTTCTTGAATCAGTGTGTGCTACTCGCTGCCAGCCCACCACTGTGTATTTATAGAGGAGGAACAATGTGTGACTAACTGCTGAGACAACAACTAAAGTCCATGTTTTACTGAGGTGATTGTTACTTGGTGGACTGTAGTGATGCCGAATTCTCCAGCAGTGCCCCTATATTTTAGAATTCCCCTCAGAGCAGCAGCAGCAGGATAACTCATGCATTATGTGAGCGTGTGCTGGCATTCTGTCCCTCCCACACAGGAAAACAGCTGCTGGAGTGTTTGGGTGCATGGCCGTGGCTGCACTGCTCAGCTCCGCTGCAGGACAAATATAGAAGCAAACTGTCTACAAACAGTGAAACACACACCTTGTCTGCCCACAATCTCAGCCACATGCTCGGAGCTGGGGACCGGGACGCATTCGGTCATGTTGACGCTCTTTTTGCGGGGCTCCTGGTTGTTGTCGTACAGAGGGTTCTCGTCGTTGTCCAAGCCGAGCAGAGACAGCTGGTCCAGGGCGATCTGCAGGGCTCGCTGGTCGTCCAGTGCATCTCCCTGGACGCTGCTGTCAGCGAAGAGCGAGCTGGGCATCTTTGCGGCTTCGCTGCGTTGCGGGAATCGGAAAGAAGGCAAAATAAAGGAGGGCAAAGGAGGAGTGAACGGGGAAGAAAGAGAGGAGAGGGAAGGAGGAGGGGAGAAGCACCGGACCCGTTTTTTAAAGACAACTGGTCAGTGCAAATAAATCAGTGCGGCTGAAGGGGGGAAAGAAAAACAGTGCAAGGAGCTACAAAAAAAGCATCCGCCCCCTTTGTTTTTTCCGATCGAACCTGGATGTCCCGATCCGAGCCGACCCGGGCTGTGCTGTTGTACGGAAAGACGACAAACAAAACGCGTGTTTATTCCAGAGCCGGCGGTGGAAACAGTAATAATATTCCTTCCTGACAAAGGGCCCCTCCCCGGCTGGCCTCCCTCAGCTTCTCTGTTGCTTCTGTCTGAGTCTCCAGCCAGACGGAGAGATGTGCCGGTGACGTCACCGCAGGGCAGGGACGATGCGGTGCAGCGAGCTCATTTGCATACCGGCCAGCTGATTGGCTGCGTGCGGAGGAGTGGGCGGGATTGTGTGTGTGAAGCCCCACCCCCCACTTCTTTGTTCCCTGTCTCTCTTTGTCTCTCACTCCATGGAAGTACAGTCTATGATCACGTCTAGTCTGTTGCGCTGCTCGCTTCTCGCTCAGGCGGTTGGCATCGGATGTGCACATACAGTTACAGCTCACAACAATGGACATTAACAGCAATCTGAACTCAATAAACCGGTAGACTGATTTGTGTTTTCCTGTCTGATACTGTTGGTGTGTTGTTATTTACTCCGATCCACATTGCGTTGTGATTTTAAACTGATGATGATGATAATGATGATGATGATGATTATATCCATTTGTTGAGACTCCAGCTGTAAAACGTTGTACAAAACAATAGATGTCCATGTGCTGTTTTTCTGTGTCAGTAATACTTTTTGCCTTGCACAAGTGTTTGTTTGAATTTCTGTGATTGAAGCTTTATCTTAGTTTGGACATACCAGCTCCAACAAGAACTAATTTAAAAACAACAACAACAAAGAAACACACACAAAAAAGTAAAGTTAATTGGGTTTGATATTGAAGTTAGAGCAGAGCAGGGGGTCTGTGGACCACAAACAGCAAGGATGCCAAGTCAACAAAAACAAGAGTAAGAGCAGGATTAAATTATGTGGTCAGTTTAGAATTGCATTGGATCATTTGATTGTTTTCTGAGGAGAAACTACTTTAGTTACTCACACGTAATTATAAATGGCAAAAGCTACTGAGCAGTTGAGTGTTATCAGCTGATTATCCACACACACATGACTGTTTAGGTGTATTTGTAAGAGATAGGAGGCTTCTTCCTTATAGCCAGTGTTATATTAAATAAATAAAGTTATTCTGTTCTGTGTGGGTTCAAGCCATACCATAGTGACTGCATTGTGTCAGAATATGTTATCAAAGTGACCACATGTTGTAGAATTAAAACAGACAGTACACTGAGAGCAGTGTATGATGCAAGCGAATGATAAACAATACTTTCTAAAGGATTTTTCAAATTTAAATTCCCCATTCTCAAATATCTAAAAATGAGTTTCATCTATTCTGTACAGTGTAATGATTTGCTATTTTTTAAAACTGCAATACATGTGTTTGCTACTTAGTTAAATAAAACATGAAGCCCACTGAAATCTCTGAAACTCAAATATTCATGCTCTTTATTTACATTTTTTAAATTAAAAAAGAAGAAGAAGAAGAAGAAGAACTTTCCAGCTTGTATGTAATAAAGCTTGAAAAGCATATTTATTTCACTTCAAATCTAGCGGGACTGTCTTGACAACATGAGCTGGGAGCATTTCTAATTTTATTTCAGTCTTTTTCCTCAGTATTGTGGGATATTGTGAGGCGTAGACATGGAGAACATTGCAGGGTGATGCAGTGTTTGCCGTTATGGATGGCCGTAGACTGAGAGAGGCAGGAGGATGGTGGAGGGGTGAGGTTGGGGGTGTTTGGTCAAAGGGCCTTTAGGCAACACAAAGGGGATTTCAAGCTGATTCAAAACCATTTTGACCAGAAGCACTTTGCTTTGTCACCTCACTCCTGGAGCACAATACCAATGCTAATGAGGAGCCACTCAGGAACTGGAGGAGGTGATGTGGTGGGACCCTCTTGTTAATATTTGACACATCAGCTCCCCCCAAACATTTATACTCCCCAAAGTGTCGTGGTGTATAAGCATACCTAGCCTTTAGTTTATATTTGCTGGCCTGCAAGCACTCGGATTTACTGAGTCTAAATGCACTGGAGTAAAATATGCATCATGTGTACATTTTTAAGAATAGAAACTCTTCCCTGATTGCTAAAGTGCCGTGATTCCCTGAAGAAATACTGAAAGTTAACAGTCTCACCTCAAGATCTTCACCAGCAGATGGAGTTACCAAGTTGTCACTTACATGGAGACATCAAATTTCCATATATCTGTCCAAGTTAGCTCAAAAGTTGAGATTTAAAAGTTTGTTCTCAACCTTGGAAAACAGAAGTTGGCAAAACATTCTCAAACACAACATCTATTTAGTAGCTGTTTCAAAACATTTGACCGTATGATTAAAATAATTGACTCTGAAATGCAAATTGAAATTACTTCCAGCTTAGGGAACTCTCTGAAAAGTGCTGAGGATGACAGAACATTTGTTTGTTGGTAGATCAAAAACCTTCACTAAACACAGTCTGTTATTAGTCTTATTTTAACCTCTGAAATCACCCAGTTTTGGCCAGACACATGGGTAGGACAACCAGAAATAATGTGTATTTCAATGGTTATAAAGGTGTACAAAGATGTTGTGATCAACAGACATGTACTTTGGGTATATGACTTATCATGTCTTTTATCTTTTTAAAATTTTAGATAACTACCTTCAAACTCTGCACCAAATGGAATAGCCATTGACTGTAGAATCATGTCCCGTAGAATATCTCTGTATTGCTGCTGGCTACATCTGACCCTGATATGTAAGCAGCATTCCAGAAATCATACCAGTTCTGGTATAGAAACATGTGCCCTTAGAGCTCTCCTCGACACGGAATCCTTGACTCTGTTCCTTGTAGAGACATGACCTAAAGCAACACTTCTTACAGCTGCGTTTATCTACATTACCATCTGTCTTCCATGTGCTTATATTCACAGTTCTGCTGTAAGGTTCTCCCTCTGCTTTGAGGACCTGAAGAAATAAAGTGCTACTGAATTGAATTAAGGGCCTGGAGTTTTTGTGGTGTTGCACAGGCCCACAGTGTGTCCCACTGCTCTCTGTTAAGCCCAGACAGACACTGATTGCAGCATCATCGCTGATATTTGTTGTTTGGTATTAGGCGTTAGCCAGCTGCTTAGAGGCGATTACCCGTATGCCTTTTAATGAGAGGAAGAAAAGCTTTGCTTGCTCTAACCCAGAGAGCGACGGAGACAGACAGGGCTTAGTGATCACTCTGCCAGTCACTGCGCTGTAGCTACAGGGCTGCAGACACAGACACTGGGTCACAGTAAACAGCAGGTCACAGGATACAGAGCAGCCTGTCTGCACACTCCTCCTGACTCTAACACCCTGACCTCATGCACTGATACAGTACACAGGCTTCCTGCTGCAACGACAGGTTATGCAGATCACACTGCTGCGTTGGTAACTCTCCTTTTGTGTTTGTTTCATGATAATCAGTTCTGTGTTCCCAGTTCAAAAGGATCACCCCTTTATAATTGATTTTAAGTCCATAATAATTCACATCACCCAGTGCTGTGTTGTAGCTTTTTTATTAACTTTTGAAGCTCTATTATTTTTTTATTGGTATAGCTCACTCATGTAAGCTCATACAATTAGCTTTTGATCTTTTTAAAGCATAATGTAAGGACTATTTTCAAGCACTCAGAGGAAACATAATGGGCTATTTATCACCAGCTACTTTGTGCCAAAATTTAACACGGTGATTTGTTTCGAAACCACTTTAAACTACATTCGTACAAATTAACATCTGCTGTCCTCTCATTCAAAACTGGCCAGAGCCATTGTATGAGTGAAGAAAGGACATAGGCCTGAAAGTAACCAAAACCTTTACAATATTACTAAATGAACTGGTGAACACATTCAAGTTTCTGTCTGAGAGAGACTTTAAAACAGGATATTGAACTTCAGAACAAAAACAACACAAACGTTTCTTTTGCTCCACACAGCTCAACAGTAAGAAACATGCTCCCAATGCAAATATAAGTGGCTTTTGTGTGTCATTTTCATGACGACTTTGTTCTGTTAAGAAGAAATATTTTCCTTAAGGTTCCATTGATGAAATATTCAGCGTACAAATAGGGGTACCAAGATCCTCTTTTAATGACAAATTGTAAAGGTGTGGATGATGAGGAATATCCTTGTGCAGCCTCTTCTCATAATAATCATTTGTTTTAAGCATCATTTGTTTTTCTGGCATTTCCTGGTTTTGGACCACATGTGAACATGCACTGATAATGCATGATTATGAATTAGCTT